ATAATATTATTATTTTTTATTTTTAATAATCTAACATCACCTAAATTATAAGATAATACAAGGTTTTTAATGTCTAATGGTAAATCATAAAAAAACATATAATATTAATATATTTATGTATTTAATTAGTGATTTTCAAATATTGAGAAAAGTTTTTCATAAAGATACGGTTAGGGTCTTTTTGGAGAAGGTTAATATATAAAAAGCTATGTGGTTGTTCAGTTGCTTTTTCATATATTTTATAAATTAGTTTCTTGCTTTCGTGCAAACTATCGCTTCTAACAATTGCCGATAATTCATCTTGTAATATTTCTATTTCTTTAAAATTTCTAACTTTATAATAAAACAAATGACTTACATTTACTCTAATAATTGGTGGGACACTTGATGATTTCTGAAGACTGACAAGCGTTGATATTCCACTATGACGTCCCCTACAGAATAAAGAATTTAACAATTTGTTATTTCTTGTTATTGCTGGGTTATCAGATACATCATCCAATATAACTAATATATTAAATAACTTCTTCATTCCTTGTTTTTTCTGGTATTCAATTATTTTATTTTGAGTTTCTATAACTCTTTCTAAATCTTCAACATTGAACTCATCCCACCAACACGGTTCTTTATCAGTATCTACTTTCAAACCTTCTTTAATGTACTTTTTGACAGGCAACCAAATACTATCCAAATTTACAGATGGGGACCAGATAAAAACTCTTTCAAATGCTCCTCTATAAATATCAAGTATCATTGATACAAGTAGGGTGCTCTTTCCAGAGCCTGACGGCCCTACAATCATTGCTCTCATCGGCAATTTAGGGACGACCTCGTGCTTACTTTGTTTAAAGTCATATTTGATTTCATCAATTGGTTTTACATCAGGCATAATAAAAGTAATATTAAAGACATTTAGAAAATAATTTAATATTTATTATTTTATATGAATAGAAGTTATTCAGATTATATCAATATAACAGATAAAGTAGAAAATATAGAACAAGTTGTTATAACCGATAATAGATTTAAGAAAGTATGCTATTTTGTTTTAGAATTAATTAAGTTTGTGATACAATATATTAAAAATATAAATATTAATATAGATGGGGAGAAAGAAAAAGAATAAGACAGAATCAGTTGTTTCTTCAACTGATGAAGAAATTGTTAAAGAAGCATCAGTTATTGAGTTTGCTTGCCCAATGTGTAAAAAGATGTTACAAATGAAAAATGAATTAGAAATTCAAAAGAAAGGAAACTGTAAATGTTCGTGTATTCCGACAAGTTTCAAAATTAGTAAAAATGATAAGAAAATGAATATTGATAAAACTAAAGACAGTATCAACTTAGAAACAGATGTTCATAATATTGCTATACGATTTGGGAGGGGAGTTACTCCATCAGATAATGGTGATAAGGAAACACAGGAGACTGTTAAACAAATAATGAAAAACTAGTATTTAAAGAGTAGATTTAACATAATTGCAACATTTAGTTTTAAAAGTTTAGTTTTATAATTTAGTATATATGGAGGAACATTTAGCGAACATTGACAGTAGTTTAGAGTTGTTGTTTCCAAGATTAGAAAAAGTGTTGGAGCAAAATGAAAACATACTGAACATCTTAAAGAGCATGAATATTAAACCTACATATAATAACAATAACAGTTACCAAGCAAAAGAAGTAGATAGAGACAGTTGCGAATACAAAAATAAACGCAACATTTATGTTAAAAAACTGAATGAAAAAATCATAAAAGAACCTAAACAATCAAGTCTGGATTACTATCAAGTCAAGTATTAAGAAGATACCAAGAAATACGTTTAATCATTAACTAACAAAATTTCGTGTCTCAAAAGCGGTTTGTTTATTCCTGCTACTTTGTAAGTTTTATTACCCATAATATCATATTCAATTTTATCAATATTGAATATTTTATTAGACCATTTAGAGTTATACTCCTTTCTGTCGGTGTAGACGGTGCCATCCTTGTTGATGAGTGAGATGTGCTGTTATACTGTTTCAATGCTTGCGTTAGGGCATCGGTCCATTTCATGTTGTTAAACCTAACTCTATCGTGAATTTTGTTTTTCATCGTTCTAATAAAACGCTCGGCCACATTTGCGTGGGTCTTCGTGACGATGTGTTTTATTCCTTCACTGTTGAAGAAATCCTGAACTTGATTTTTAGTTGCAAACGCTCCGTCGTCATCAGAATACACGGACATCGGATAACCCATCTTTTTAAAGCTTGCTCTCAACGCCTTCAAAACGTGCTCTCCGTCTCTTTCCTCCATCGGTATTACATCAGCTAATTTACTGAAGATGTCAATCACGACTAAAGCATACTGTGGAACGATCTTGTCTTTTGCTAAAGGTGACATATGCATTATGTCTATTTGATATTCATATCGCGCGAATGGAGCGGTATAGGAATTAGTACCTCTATAATTTTTGATTTGTTTATTTGGTTGTTTCTTTAAGAAAGACTTTACATCGTCTATTGTTATTGTTGGGTCTTCTTCCTTTGCCTTCTTGTGTGTCGCTTGTGTGCTTCCGAAACCCTCGTCTAAGTCGTAATAGATGTTGCTGATTATTTGGTCTTTTGTTAATCTCGCCATTATATTAAATTGATAGAAAATATTTTTTCAATATAAAGCCCCGCCCCTTAACATAAAATAAAAACTACTTAAAGAAATATTAACTTATTATATTAAGTGAAAATTATGGCTGAAATAAGATTAGATGACTTGAATTTAGAAAATGTCGGAGCGATTGCTGACTTATCAAACTTGGTGCTATCAGACGAAGAAGATGATGATAATGACAGTTATAAAAAGGAATTAGATGAAGAGTTAAACAAAATAAAGGATTTCATCCAAAGACACCCTTTGCCACCAGTTGATGAAAACGAAGAATTCTGGAAAGATGTCATTAGCAGGTTTAGGGATAATAGCAGATTAAACTTGATGGCGATATACTCATTTGTTAGGTTTGACATCATGAAAGAAATGTATGAAAACCTAACAGATGAAGACATCATAAAAGACTGTGGTAAAAAGTTAAACCGAGATGGAAAGTTTAATGCAATGATTATTAACCACTATATCTTATCAGGAGCGATACGGAAACTAAACAAAGAAGACAGTCTAGTAGATGGACAGATGCGAATTATTGAATTCTGGTGGGATGGAATAGGTGGATGGAAAGCGTGAGTGATTTAGTTTAATGATATTATTCAATTCTAATATGATTAAACCTAGTTTTTATAACCTAACAACAAGGTGAAGACATTTAAATTAAACCTGAAACCCAGACCAGCCGACCAGCAACCCCTAGCCAAAACTACTTAAAGAGAAAAAACCTTATATATAAAGAGAAAAATGAGTGAGGGTAAAATGTCAGAGAATAATTTTATAGTTGAGAATTGGACTAGCTTACCTGAGGGTTTAGTTTCAATCATCAATACTTACATTAATGGTTGTGAAGGGTGGCGAAGACTGAAACAATGTGATGCTTTAAGAGAATTACAGAGGAAATGGAAACCGTCTATATACATTGAGCAAGTAGGAGAAAGTAAATATTATGTTGAGATTCGCAATAAATGTTTAAAAGGTGATAAAGCGCTTTCATATGCGTTGAAACCACCAAAATAATTATTAAGAATGATGAAGTATGATGAAGAAATACAGGTTGGAATAGAAGTTAGTTCAAAAATTATGTATAATAATAATATTTGCAACAGTCGTTCTTATTCATCATCTAAACAGAATAAGATTTCAAGTAGAGCGTCATTACAATACCATATTGAACAAGCAGTTGAAGAAACCAAACAGACTATGAAACGAGACGAAATCATTACTATAGAACATATTACATTTGAAATTTATACATAACAGAAACAATGATTTCATGGCTTAATCATAATATTTAATTATAATATGATTAAACATTGTTTTATAATCTAACAAGAAGGTTAAGACATTTAAATTAAACCTGAAACCCAGACCAGCCGACCAGCAACCCCTAGCCAAAACTACTTAAAGAAATATTACCTTATATATTAAGAGAAAAATTAACGGTGATGGAATCAATAATTATATCGATAAAAAATGCTATGATTGTTGTCACTTCAAAAAAGAAAATATGGAATTGTTTAAATTGAGTTTACCTAATGAAATAGTGAATAATATTATTAATTATTCAATGGATGGTGAAGAAGACGAATGTGAAAATTGTAAAACTTGGAGAGATAATCAATTTTTAATCAAATGTCTGTTGGAAATAAAAAGAATAAATAATAGAAATGTAGAAGATGATATTTTAATATTTCTAACTGTAAATAAAATACCACCTTACGACTGTGTTAAACAGTTTCTTAAAATCAGTAAGAAAAAATATGAAATGATTTACGATATATTATGGATGATGGGTTATAGTCAAGAGAAAGGAGAAGATGTTAAAGAAAATATCAAATTATTTATTGAAAGTAAAAAGTTTAATGTTCAGAATACAGTGAGAGATGTTAATATTATTTTTAAAATGATGTATGAAAGAAGTAAGACAAATCAATTAAATTATTATCCTGAACTGAAATTATAATCATAATATAATTATAACATGTAAAATCTTATATGTTATAATTATACTGAACTGTTAACCTATAAATGAAAATTAGTGAGAAAAACACTAACAAAACAAATACACCACCAACACCTCAGAACTTGATAACTACTAAAAGGGTTAACTCTTTCAAATGAAAAAAATGTCGGCCCCCAGAAAATCCACCCCTAACACCCTACAACAAAATATAGGATGAAATCAAACAAGGGTGTTAAAACGTTGGATAACAACATTTGACCCAATAACCCCTACACTCCTCCCTCTTCCCCCCAGCCCCCCTACTTTCTCCATTTTTTGGGGGGCCGGTGAGGGGGGGGGGGGGCTTTCCATGCTAATCTGCAGCGGGCTCATATCCCATGCTGTCCCACCATAGCTCATTGCCTGACAGGATCTCCCCGCGCAAGGCGTCAAGCTCCTGGTGCCAAGTTGGGAGTGGATGCCTAGTGCAAGAAGTTGTAGTCCTTGGTTGCTGTTGACTCGTTCCCCCCCGCAAAAAGTTTTCAACTTTTTGGGGTTTAGTGGAAAACACCTTTATTTCCTAAAAAGTTAAAGTCTAAAGATCCAACCCAATAGCAGTCAAGTAGTTGACATGTGGCTGTGTGCCAAAAATAGGGTAGCCCCACATGGACTAAAACCTGCGGTCGCCAAGGTGGTTTAATTTTGACCCACGCCCATGTCTGTCCAAATCCATGACCAAAAGGAAATTGATGTCTGAACAAGCAACATATTTTTCAACGTCTTGAATTATATGCTGGCATTCTGGCAAGAAACGAAAAGGAGATCACAAAGAACCAGCATCACATTCTTCTCGTGGAAAATTGAAATGCTGGGACGTGAGCAGCTGCAGCGGTCCAACAGAAACCTCTGAGCAAGCTGCGAGCCTCAGGAACTTGTTGCAAACAGGCTCGGCAAATACGTAGATTCTTCCGCTGGGCGCTGGGAGCTTTTGTTTCTCCCCCCTTTCCGAGGCGCGGGGCATTGAAACACCTGGCTCTGGCCCGACAAGTCTGAACAAAAAGCACCCCCACAGCAATCATCCTCAACGCAAAGTGGAATGGCAGCAGGGAAGACTCGTCTATGAATGGCATGGAAATAATCACTCGCCCCAATCCTTGCATTGCCTGTCTGCTTCAGAGGCTGCCGCATCCACCGCGGCTTGGATCGCCGACTCCCGGCCCGTTGGCTTTGCCGAGGTCGAAGGCTCCGCCTGCCCGGGTTTTGGAGTCAGGCCGTGCAGTCGCGCGATCGGCGCAGGAAAGCTCACCCAAGGCATCGCTAGAGACTCACACGCTGCTGCATTCACGTTAGATTGCGAGGCCACCAGGGGCTGGGAGTGCATTTGGGGAAGGTTAGGATAGGTTGACGGTTGGTTTAAGGTTTTTAGGAATGATCTTGGAATTGGCTTGGGTTCAGGGTGGAAAAAATCGGGGGTCATGCCATGTCTCATTCCCTGCATCTCTCGCACCGGTCGCAAGTTCTTCCATGGGGTTCTAGCCTTCCAACCATGGGACAATTGGAACTCTTTTCGGCTTCCAAGAGTGACAAAAGAACCCATACTCCAACAACCCATTTTCTTGCCGGTGCTCAGTGGGGAATGAGTTGGAATGACTGCTATAAGCCATCCCATATGGTTTCCTTTAGTTTTGCTACTTCCACTTGCTTAAGCCTCCTGAAAAATAAGAATATTTCCAGTTGTGATAGATTCCCTTTAAAACCAAGAGATGAAAAAAACATCTTAAGCAAATGAAAGCAAATTAAGGGAATCCCCAGGTTCATTCACTCATTCCCTGCATATGGCACCAGCATGTCATGGACCTTCCGCCTTCCGACTCCATCCGCCTCGCCCGCCAGCTCGCTCTTCAGCTCCGCGGCCGCCGCCCGCGCGGCCTTGGCCGCCGCCGCGCGCACCCGGCACTGCGCCTGGTGGGTGGGCGGGCGGCCCGTGGCGAAGCCAATGGGTGGAGCTCGCTCATTGGGGGCTCTCAACATTTCCCCTTAAACAATGTGCTTCCTTCACATCATGCCCAACTTGTCGTTCATGTCATATGAAATAGACCACGCGCCGTTGTCTGCCAAGCACCATCACCTTCAAGGGATACTCACCTTTCATGGGCCACAAAGGTGATGTTTAAAACCACCACAAGGGGAAGATAGGGACCCCTGTCATTCGGAAACCAAACCAAGATGGGGGTGTCCCAGAATGGGAAGAGCCCGAAAAAACAAATGTGGGTTTCCTTCAAGTCAACCGACCGCGGGTCCCCCAATTTTGGAACCCCTGCGCTTCTTGCGTGCCTCCTGCAGCAAGAGCCGATCCGCCTGCGAGTACGCAGCCTGTGCCAAGACACGGAACGCAGCTGCCAGAAAAAAACCACGGAACCTGTTCCTGTCCTTTTGCAAATCGGTGTCTTCTATGAGGACAATCTTGGATTGTGAAAGAAAGGAACAATCACACCCGGAAATTGCCTGTTTTGGGATAAGTCCAAATAGCCCCACCCCTGTGCGACAGTCTGCATGAGTCAAAAGATACTCGCTGAGTGACAGTGTTACCCAACCAGTTGCGCCAATCTGGTGCCATCTTCGGGCAGGAGGGCTTAACGTTTGCAGCTTGTCAAACAATAGTTCCGACAGTGAGCACGTCTGCACACCAGCCGTGACTCCCTCCAACCTCTGCTGCAAGGCTTTTCGCCAAACAGCCGGGAACTCCGGATCGGGCAAACGTGCAAATGCATTTAGGTCTCGCCAATGCAAGCACATACTGCTTCGTGTGGTGGTTCTGAAGCGGAAAAGACAAGTTCCTTTTCCTGTGGGACCCGGGTCCAATCCAACAGCCCATCTTAGACTAATTCCGCCCTTCTGAGCTTGGAGTTGTCATAGCCATGCCACAACTGGGAAGTGAACCGAATGGTGAACGGATCAAATCAGAGTTTAACTACAGTAAACTGAGCGACTGACGATGGCATTCGTCCAAGATTAATTTGGAAGGAGACCTACGATCCAAGTTTCAAAGGGTTGGAAACAGGAAATTCTACCGGAAAACAGCTCAAATTTCGGCTTTTGGGGCCATTTCCGATCTTGATTTTCCTGTATCTGTGAAAGCTGTCCACAAGTGCCACGGGGAAAAAAATCTGTTCCACCGCTCTGTCTCGGACCTCCATGGCCAGCGCACGGCAAACATTCAGAAAGCCGCAGGAGGCAGCGCAAAGGAGCCTTCGCAGCCCGGACCCGACGGCGACATCATGGCGACATCTTGGGGGCCTGCGAGGGATGAGCTTTGGCCTGGGAGAATGGTCCCAGGCTCTATGCTGTGAGCCAAGGGGGAGAAAAAAAAAGGAGGCTGGGAAGCTTTGCTATTTGTGGGTGGAAGAGTCCCTCCTGCACAGCTTGAAGACTGACTGACCGGACACCTTCGATTGAAAGCTTCGCTCTTGCCGAGTCGGGGCGAGCCATCCAGCCTCTGGGAGTGCTCACTTTCGTCGCACGCCTCGGCCATTTTTTGGGAGCCCTTTCGAACCACGAGATAAAATGATTAGGATGGCTCCAACTGGAAATCGAAGTGCCTCTCCGTATTGGGCAGTGGGCTCTGCATTCAGCTCAGCCACCCATCTTGCCAAAATTCAGCACTGCCCACAGATTTTGAACGCGTGGCTCGAGCAATTGGACCCTCTGAAAAGGCTCCAAGGCCCCAGTGGTCATTGATTCAAATAAACCACGAGCGTAAGCCACCTACTCACCTGTGGGGTTGGACATCCAAGAAGGCATCCGGATATGGGTTGGGCCACCCCTCCTTTCACAATTACGGTAACATGTTGAGGTCCCTATGGTTGGTCTTCTTCTAAAACCGGGGGCTGGTTGTTTCTACGAAATCTTTCAAACCCGCTTTATGACCATGGTGAGGAAGCAAGCGCATGCCTTCAATCCGCGTCAGTCAAGTTGGTTTACAACAGTTTGTGGGAACTGAACCCTGGTTCTTGCAAGTTTCAACTCGCTAGGCAGGATCAAAGGCAAAGGCTTCTCGGCGTAGACCGTCCATTCCATGCAAGCTACCCCCCACCAACTAACATGGAAGTACAAAAAGGCCCTTTCCAAGAGGAAAGTCGTCTTTCTACAGTGGTCTGTGCACTTCCATGTTGGCTGGTGGGAGGGTAAATATTAAATCATGGTCACAAAGGAACTCAACCCAGTCCTGAGGCGGGCAGCATTCCGCACCAGTTGGCCGTGGTCAACCCCAGCATTCACAGGGCTTTATCCCACTTGGTACCTGCGTAGATGGTGTCCATGTATGAGTATGTGTCAAACTGCAGGTCCTCAAAATGGGGAATAGTGATTTGAGTTTGGGGGACCCTCAAATTGGACGTTGATGTTCCTTTTGGTTCCCCTCAAAGCCACCCCAAAAAAGAACACCCTCAAAAACAACCCCTTCTTAAACGAAGAATTCCGAGCTCGGCATTCCGAGAACGATCCAGTTCAGCGCTTCTGAAATATCAAAGCATCATAATATTCATATACGATGTATATATAGACATATTCTACATGAACATGTTTATATACATATACATATATATATACACATGTATATGCATGTATAACCAAGCTAAGTCCTCCGGTCAAAAATGGGCACGATCCTAAAGGGGGGACCTAGTAAACATGGTCATGTTCTACATGAATATACCGATATCTATATACACATATACGTATACACATATAGTTCTATATACAAATATAAATGCACACATATATATATATATATATATATATATACGCATATACATATACAAATATATATATATATATATATATTTGTATACCTATACTATAAGCACACAGGCACACACAGCCAGGCGTTGCAGGCCCTGGGCTTCCGGGCCAACAAGGCGCAGTGCTGCAGCAGCTCGCAGGCGCCGCCGGGCAGCGGCGCCGTGGCCGCCTGGGCGGCCGTGGCGGCCAGGAAGGCCGGGGCCACCACAGGCTCCAGGAGGGGCTGCAGCAGCCACTCCTCCTGTCTTTGAAGGGGTTGAGGTGCTGGACACGCTCAGTGGAAAAAACATGATAAATGTATATCCAGGGGTCTAGGTGAAATCCCGAGGGCTTTGAACCGAGTTTGGGATCAAGTGGCATTGGATACATCATTCAGGAGGTCTGGGCAAAATTGGATTAATCAGAGTTTGTCGTGGTAAAATTTGGAGTTTAAAATCGGATGCCCTCCCTCAGAGATGTCCAAAAAAGGCATTGGATGAATCAAGGGGCTTAGGCAGAGTTTCCACAAGAACTCACTTCCTGAGTGGGTTGCCCAACAAAGGTATTTGGAGGAAGGGGTTTAGGTTTTTGAAGCCTGCCAGACCTGATTCAAACAAGGGTAAATCAAGGGGGTTAGGTAAAATTGGACAACTCCTCCTGAGAGCTTCCCAAAACAGTTTAGGATCAAGCGGCATTGGATAAATCATCAAGAGGCCTAGGTAAAATTGGACAATCAAGGGGTTGAGGTGGAAGGGGATAAATCCCTAGGTCCAGGTAAAATTGGATACCCTCCCTACCATCATGGAAGCTGACAGGGTTTTGACATACTTCTTTTGGGGGATTCTAAAGTGCCACAGGGATACCTTGGAAGGAAACCAGCTACATTAGCAAAGGGAAGCTGACTGAACACAAGAGAGTGGGAGGCATCCTCGCGTCGACACTGCTGCATGACTTGAAATCACCGCCCTTCACCAACTGGTTCGACGTGTTCCAGCTGTTCATCCAACCTGTCAGTACCAGCAAGCAAAGGCTCTGAACTCGCGCTATCAGATTCGGTGTCCTTTTGGGAAAATCGATGGCACTGGTAAATGAGTAGAACCAATCTGCAACAAGTGCCATCTATTTTTCAAGCAAACTGACCTATTACTCAGTTGCCCAAAGGACCCAGAAACAAAAGGTTAACCTTTTGGGACCTTTACTAAAAATGGACCAAACATGGGAAACCAAAAGGTCAAAAGGTCGATTCGCTTTGGGCAACTGAGATTAGGCTAAGGACCTAAGGCCACCTATGCACACGCTGGACCCTCGGGAGCTTGCTGATTGTCCTGGAGTACCGCCACAGCGCTGAGCACGCCGCGCACCGCCAGTGACACCTTGCGCTCGTCAGGGTTCGGGGTCTTTGAGGGCTTAGCACCTGTCTTCGTTCAGAGCTGCGACCCTGACAATGGCCTGAAAAAGAAACGCTTTAAGATCTTTAAGCAAAACGGCGGGGCATGGCCAAAACACATATTCGGGCACGTCGCGCGAAGGCAGATGCTTGGAATCATCTTTGCCGAATGTCAAGAAGAAGTGGATCTGCTTGTGTAACTTTCTTGCCTTGGGTTTGGGGGATTTGGGCATGAATGTTTTCTGAACATGTATGCCAAATGAGCATGCGGTGGGTGTCCGCCTTTCGCGCAACACGTGCCCCAAACACGGAACCACCGCATACTGCCCCTCCTGGACAAAGTAAGGACCGCAACTGTGTCAACATGATTCTGCAGTCCTGCGGAAACCGGCGAGAAACCATGCGAAAACGTGAGCAAGTCTCCCAATTGGGTTGCTCAATATGGGGAGGTCCCCCCCCCCCATACCAGCCCGTTGGCAACTCCCACCTTGAGAAGGTGGCTGCACTTGTTCATCACCGCCATCAAGTCCAACCTTACAGACTTACAACTTTGGCCTTGTTGCAAGGAAGGCCAAAACACCACAATGACAATAAGACCTCATAAGATCAACAAAAAATATCAACATTTCTCAGCTGATCTTTTGAAGGAAGAGAAGACCCAACATCATTTGAATGAAGCTCGTGCTGGACCTGTCTCTAAAATAGAGGCATCTTGAATATGGATGCTGAGCCCCAAACACGACACATGTCGCTCTTTTCTTGGTTGACGTTTTATTTTTTAGCAGTTAAGTGGGGATTTCCCACTAAACCACAAGAAGCAAAAAATGCCAAATGTTTCCCATGTGGCCATGGGTCAAAATCCCGTACCCCCAGTGAACATCCCAATCCCCAATAAAATCGGTTCTAAATAGGCGGTGAATTCACCTACCAACCAAAATGGGATCCCAAAACGGTGTTGACAACCACAGCCATGTCTTGCGGCTCAGCCACACGGAGCCCGCAGCCGTGAGCTTGGCGAACGCCACGCCCTCGTCGGATTCGCCCGCGTCGCTTAGGAGCTGATCCGCGGTGGCCAGCGCCAGCTGCGAAATTGCGCAGCGCGGCGTCGGCAGCTCCGCCAGGAGCGCCTGAAGCGTCCGCCTGAGTCCATGGATGGATGGACGTGGGTGGGTTGGGTGGGATGGATGCATGGGTGGATGGAACCTGTGAAACGAGGAGGTTCTGAAAAAGACCTTGTGGACAGGTGCGACTTTTTGGGGGAAGCCCAGGAAGGTGTTACAAAGACGTTGTGGACAGGTGCAATTTTCGGGGGATTGTGCCATATGGGTGTGGGTGAAAAATAAGGCAACCCCAAAATGGGTTGCCCCGGTAAACTGGGTTCAAAGACTAAAACCCGCGGTCCCCTGGTGGGTAATTTTAACCCATACCCATTATAGCCCAGGAAGGTGTCACAAAGACGTTGTGGACAGGTGCGACTTTGGGGGGAGTGTGCAAACAACTTGTCTAAGCTTTCTGGTTCAAAACATGCAACGCAAGCAGACGCCTCAAAAACAAACCTCTGCGCAAATGCAAATTTGCGTGCCCTTTTGCCGG